GTGTTTTGGGGGAAGAAACTTGGGTAGCTGAGAGATACACTGCTAAAAAGATTACTTTTCACAGTATGTGCTTTCTTCTGTAACTTCTGAATTTTGCATCATACACATTTTACATGAAGGAGCATCTATTTATAGGAACTAATCTTCAAACAAACGTAAGAGTTGTACAATAGTGAAATGAGTTGCTCTGAACTTAAAAGTACTTAAGCAGAGGCTGAAGGCCATCTGTCAGAGACGTTACTGAAGAAATTCTTCTAGGGGTTAGAGACCAGTGAATTAATTATTCTCTAACATCTCTTTTATTTGCATGATTCGAGGATTCCTCTCCACTTACGTTATGGCCCTCCTAAATGTCCAGTCTATAGTTTCCTCATTTATTTGATAAATACATGTGATCACAAAATGTAGGTAAAGACAACCCCATTCCTATCCCTAATGGCTGCCTCAGATCATAGAAGCTACTACTACACAAGCCAAGTATTCTTCTAATTTGATGTCTGCAAGTAGCTACCTACATTAAACAGGCTCTTCTTGTAGTTATCCACCTTCCTTATACACACACCAAGCACAGTGCCTAGCACACAGCTGACAGATTACAACCTGTGACAAGCAGACTTCTAACATGTCCCCCAGGGATCCCTACTTCCTGGTATTCTTGTCCTATGTAATCCCTTCATCTTGAGTGTGGGCTTGACCTAGTGAAAGGCTTCTAACAAAGATAAAAAGTGATGGGATGTCACTTCCATGAGTTGATCATGAAAAACCGTGACTTCTGTCTAGCTAACAGACTTTCTATTGCCTTCTGTGTTTACAGACTTAGATGGCACAAGTTGCCAAGATGGAAATATGGCAAAGAATTGAGGGCAACCTCTGGGAAACAACTAGAGAGGAAGTGAATTCTGCCAACAATTATGTGAGCTTGGAAGCAAATCCTTAGTCGAGCTTTAAGATGACTACAGCCCAGCTGAAAACTTGACTGCAGCCTGTGAAAGACACTAAAGCAGAGGACCCAGATAAGCTGTGCCCAGATTCCTGAGTCACAAAATGTAAAATAAACGCGTTAAGTCACTAAATTTCAAGATAATTTATCACAGGATAATTTTTCTATCAAACTTGAAAGAGTAGGGTTTCAGGTGTTCACTTTGGGTAAAGGTGTAACCTCTAACGTAGCAGTACAGGCATTTTTCTAATGGCAAGAAACTTGTATCATAGGCTTTTCAAGTGAAAAACATTATCAACCTTCTTTGTTATCTCATTCTACAGAGATAACCAGTAAGTGTAATGAACAGTTTCATAATCTCCCAAAGTTGTCTCCAATGTTTTTTACTACTACTGAAGTGCAGCAAAGCTGCTTAATATTCATTTCTAACGTGTGTTTCTTACAAACTAATTTTAAGGGATATTAGTAGATACTATAAAATAAATATTTCTGTGGTCAAGTAAGTTAAGCAACTACAGAGTTAAAACCAGGTGTGTTCCTTCACTGAAGTCCAAGCTATCAAAATGGCATGAGATTGAGTCAAGTGAAAGGAAGAAATAAAAACTGTCTTTGTTCATGGATTACATGAATATCTCTGTAGAAAATCTGAAAGCACTGGGGGAAAACACTCCTGGAACTAATAAATGATTATAGCAAGGTTGCAGGACATAAGATTAATATACAAAAGTCAACCACTTTCCTATAAACTAGCAACGAACAAATGGAATCTGAATTTAAAAACACAATACCACTTACATTAGCCCACAAAAAATGAAATACTAAGGTATAAATCTAACAAAATATGTACAAGATCTATATGAGGAAAACTATAAAACTGTGATGAAAGAAACTAAAGAACTAAATAAATGGAGAGATATTCCATGTTAATGGATAAGATGACTCAAAACTATCAAGATATCAATTCTTCCCATCTTGATCTACAGATTCAATGCAATCCCAATCAAAATCCCAGCAAGTTACTTTGTGGATATCAACAAACTGATTCTAAAGTTTATAGAGAGGCAAAAGACTCAGAATAGCCAACACAATATTGAAGTAGAAGAATAAAGTTGGAGGACTAACACTACTCAACTTCAAGACTCACTATAAAGGTACAGTAATCAAGACTGTGTGGTATTGTTAATAAAGAAACAGGTCAATGGAACAAAACAGACCCACATAAATATAGTCAACTGATTCTTGACAAAGGGGAAAAGGCAATAACAATAGAGAAGACAGTCTTTTCAACAAATGGTGCTGGAACAACTGGACATCCATGTGCAAAATAATGAATCTAGATGTAGACCCTACACCCTTCACAAAAATTAATTCAAAATGGAGTTTGATCTAAATCCAGACCTAAATGTAAAATGCAAAACTTAAAACTCCTAGAAGATAAAATAGGAGAAAATATAGATGATCCTGGGTTTGGCGATGACTTTCTAGATATGACACCAAAGGCACAATTCATGAAAGAAAGAACTGATAATGGATTTCATGAAAATTAAAAATTTCTGCTCTCCAAAAGACCCTGTCAAGAAAATAAAAAGACAAGCAATGTATTGTGAGAAAACATTTGCAAAAAATATATCTGATAAAGGACTGCTATTCAAAATATGCAAAGAACACTTAAAGCTCAACAATAAGAAAACAATATGATTAAAAAATGGGCCAAAGACCTTGCAAGACACATCACAAAAGAAGGTATACAGATGGCAAATAAGCATATGAAAAGATGCTCCATCACGACATGAGGAAAATGTAAATTAAAATAACAAGGAGATATCACTACACATCTATTAGAATGGCCAAAATTCAGAACACAGACAATACCAAATGCTGGCAAGGATGCTGAGTAGCACGAATTCTCATTCACTGTTGGTGGCAATACAAAATGGTACAGACACTTTGAAAGACAGTTCAGCAGTTTCTTATAAAACTAAACATACTATCCATCAGTTGCACTCCTTGGTATTGATCCAAAGAAATTAAAACTTATGTTCACACAAAAACCTGAACATGGATGTTTATTGGAGCTTTATTCATAATTGCCAAAACCAGGAAGCAACCAAGATGTCCTTCAGCAGATGAACGGATAAATAAACTGTGGTACAAGCAAATAATGGAATATTATTCAGCACTAAAAAAAAAAAGAGCTATCAAGACATGAAAAGACATGCAGGAATCTTAGATGCATTTTACTAAGTGGGAAAAAAGCCAATCAGAAAATGTTACATACTGTATGATTCCAAATATATGACATTCTGGAAAAGGCAAAACTATGGAGACAATAAACAGATCAGTGGTTATCAGCAGTTTGGGGAAGACAGAGATGAATAGGCAGAGCACAGAAGACTTTTAGGGCAGTGAAAATACTCTAACGGTAGATACATGTCATGATACTTTTGTCCAAACTTATAAGAATGTATAGCACCAAGAGAGAACCCTAAAGTAAACTATTGACTTTAGGTGATAATGATGGTCAATGTAGGTTCATCAATTGTAACAAACGTACCACTCTGGTAGGGGATGTTGACAACTATGATATAGATAGACTATGCATATGTGGGGATGGAGTATGTGGGAAATCTCTGTATCTTCCTCTCAATTTTGCTGTGAACCTAAAACTGCTCTAAGAAAAATAAAGTTAAAAAAACAGTTGTAAAATATAAAACAAGTATTTTTTTTTTTTAAAAGATGAGAACTTTTAGCGGTTGGCCTGGCAGTGTAGCGGTTAAGTTCGTGCACTCTGCTTGGGCAGCCCAGGGTTTACAGGTTCAGACTCCAGATGTGGACCTAGCACCGCTCATCAAGCCACACTGTGGCAGCATCCCACATAAAATAGAGGGAGATTGGCACAGATGTTAGCTCAGCAACAATCTTCCTCAAGCAAAAAAAGAGGAAGATTGGAAACAGATGTTAATCAGGGCCAATCTTCCTCACCAAAGATAAATAAATAAATAATGAGAACTTTCAGAGTCTGATTATTATGCTTTTATAGACTCATTTACTGCCACATTTAACCTCATAATATCTAGTCATACTGGACTATTCCATTTCAAAAGAATTTAATATTTTCATGTCTTAGTGCAGGCTATTGTCTTTACCTGAAATGCCCATCACCTCATTCTACCTCTCGTAAAGCTCCTAATTCAATCTTGAAGATTCACCTCAAATAACTACTTGGTGGCATTTTTGACCTACCTCTTCCCACCCCCTTTCTTTGCAGAATTAAAAATTAGCTTCTTCCAAAATATTTTCTTAATATTCTATTCATAGATCTTGGTTGTTTACTTGTTCACGTTTCTAAATTATTAATTTCTTCAATGTTGCAATCCTACTAACCAGCACCTATTTCAATTCCTGGTATAGAATAGGTACTCAAAATACATTGGCTGAATACATATATGAATGGCAAAGCAATATGATTGACATAGATGTATGAAAAAGAAAAGATATAGCTAGGTACTTATAAAAAATAGTAAAACAGAGGCCGGCCCTGCGGCCGAGTGGTTAAGTTTGTGTGCTCTGCTTTGGCAGCCCAGGGTTTTGCAAGTTCGAATCCTGGGCATGGACATGGCACCATTCATCAAACCATGCTGAGTCAGCATCCCACATGCCACAACTAGAAGGACCCGCAACTGAAAATACACAACTATGTACCAGGGGGCTTTGGAGAGAAAAAGGAAAAATAAAATCTTTAAAAACAAATAGTAAAACATTCATTTTAATATAATATGATCTTGGAAGATACAGCAAAGACTATTTTTCCTTAATTATTACATAGATTATTAATATAATTGTGAGACAAACATACAATCCAGCAGTATCCTCTATCAGTAATTCTCCAGCAGTGATATAAGTAGGGTACTTGAATTTTTTTCAATACTTCTTTATTGTGAATGCCATTTTGCATTCTTACAAAAACTAGAGGACGTTTCCAGTCAAATATTTAAGTTTTACATTACTGCTACACACATATATCACATTTCCATCAGCAGATGACAAAAATGTCACATACCAAATGAAACTGATCCACTTTGGGGATTCCATCTTCATTTGTCTCAAATTCCTGATTTTTAACAGAGAGCTGTTAAAGAAAATGAGAATGAATAAACTCCCAATGTACCAAAACACCAATCCTACAGCAGAGTCAAATCTGGAACTCTTCAGATTCTGGTGAGCATTTACTCAAAAAAAGCACATTAGCTCTTGTAGGATAAAAACACTTTTATAATAATAACTACTTGTTTACAAGCAACCAACACAGTTCCTGGGACTTCTAAAGTATCAATCACAGTTGACACACACACTATAAGCACTTTTAATACTTCTTCACCTTATAAGCAAATATATTCAAAACTTAATAACTGACATCATGTTGCTTCCCCCAAAGCTCATATGTTAAGTACAAAGAAAATAAACTAGGTAAATTGGCTTCATCCTTAATACCTAACCTGTGTTCAAGAAATACATCTTAAACTTCTAAAAACTATTAAATATGGAGAATTTCTTACATACACAAAGATATTCTGAATCCCACGTATTCCTGCCCCAACAACCATCAACCAATGACCACCCTTGCCCTATGCACAAACCCATATGTATTACTTTTGAGGCAAATCCTATACATCTCATAATTTCACCTGTAAATGTAAATTTCTAAAAGATAGTCTTTTATTTTGAGACTATCACAATATCACACTAAAAATTTAATAACTCTTTAAATAAGATATCCAGCTTTCAAATTTTCCAACATCTCATAAATATCATAAATTATTTTACTGTTATACAGTTTATTTAAATCCAGATCCAAATAAGTTCCATACACCGTAATTAAAACATGAGCAAAAAGACTTCTGGTCTCTTCCTGCTCCTCACCACTAAGTACACTATAAAGTTTGGAAATAACATAAAAGACAACCAAAGACAATCTCTGAAAGGCCAAACAGGAAGGCAAACTGGGTAGAGACCGTAGGGCTAGAGGAACAACACAGTGACAAACTGGGTAGAGACCACAGGACTAGAACAACAACACAGTGACAGGGTATCTTATGACCACCCCCCAATCCAAAAAAGAAAGTGATCCAAATAGAATAACATCAAAGAAATTAATAAAATTTCTGAAAGCTAAAAACAAAGAAAAAATCTTGAAAGCAACCAAAGACAAACAAAACATTCCCTACAAAGGAATATCCATTAGAATAAGAGGATTTCTCACGTGAAACCATGGAAACCAGAAGGAAGGGGCAAAATATTTTTCAACTGATGAAAGAAAAGAACTTTCAACCACAAATTGTATATCCAGTGAAATATCCATCAGAATGAAGGTGAAATCAGGATGCTCTCAGATGAAGGAAAACTAAGAGAGTTTGTCAGCAGAAGATATACTCTTACAGAATGGCTAAAGGAAGTACTTCAAACAAAAAGGAAATGAATAAAAAAAGGGGTTTTGGAGTGTTAAGAAGAAAGAAATAACAATGGAAAGAACAGAAATGTAAGTAAATATCAAAAACTATCCTTCTCATCCTGAGTTTCCTAAATCATATGTGATGATTGAAACACAAGTTGTAACACTGATGCTCAAGACAATGACATTTAAAAATGGGAGGGTAAAGGAACCTAAACAGACGGCTTCTACATGTCACTCAAAGTGTTAAAACACAGATACAAGCAGAATATGATAACACACGTGTATATTGTAATACTCAGACCAACCACTAAGAAAACTATAGAAAGCAATACACTCAAAAAGACCATAAATAAATCAACACGGACTCAAAAAATGTTCAAGTAACCCAAAGGAAGGCAAGAAAAGAGAAATAAATGAACAGGAAAAAACAAAACAAATAATAAAATGGTAGACTTAACCCTAACACATCAATAATCACCTTAAGTGTAAATGGTCTAAATGTCCCAATTAAGAAGTGAAGATTAGCAGAGTTAAGAAAAAACACAATGAAATCATATGCCATTTACAAGCAACAGACTTTAAATTCAGCAACATAGATAGCTTTAAGTAAATGGATGGGAAAAAAAAAACCAAAACACAGGGGGCTGGCCCCGTGGCCGAGTAGTTAAGTCCGCATGCTCCGCTTCGGTGGCCCTGGGTTTCGCCGGTTTGAATCCTGGATGCAGACATGGCACCACTCATCAGACCATGCTGGGGTGGCATCCCACGTGCCACAACTGGAAGGACCCACAACTAAAAATGCACAACTATGTACTGGGGGGCTTTAGGGAGAAAAAGGAAAAATAAGAAAACCTTTAAAAAAAACACAAATTATTTTTAAAAACATAGGCATGGTTGTATTAATATCAGATAAAGTGATAAAAGGGTCAATACACCAGGAAGACAAAATGTACAAACCAAACAATAAGGCCTTAAGATACAAGAAGCAAAAAATAATAGAGCTGAAAGGAGAAACAGACAAATTCACAATTATAGTTGAGAACTTCAACAGCCCTCTTAGCAACTGATAAAACTACCGAAAGAAAACCTGTAAGGATAAAGAAGATATGAAGAACACAATTAACCAAGAGGATCTAATTTATATATATAGAAAACTCCACCCAACAACATCAGAATAAACATTTTTTTCAAGATCCCATGGAACATTCACCAACACAGACTACAGCCTAGCAATAAAACAAATGTCAACAAATGTACAAGGAGGATATCATACAGAACATGCTCTCTGGTCATAATTAAATCAAACTAGAAATCAATACAGAAATACACAAAAATCTCCAAACACACGAAAATTAAACATCACAGGTCTAAATAATTCATGGGTCAAGGAGAAAGTCTCAAAGACAATTGAAACATACAAAAACCAGAATGAAATGGTAGGTAAGAGGTTCTTACAGATTCTCAGCAGCCTCCAGATAAACTCTTAAGAACCATCTGTTTCAAGCATTGGAGGCTGAAATAGATGACTGTTTCCCTAATCTTTGTTACCCCAGACCTTCCAATGTATGTGAAAGCTTTAAATTTCTGTATTAAAACCATTTACAATTTCAATATATAGAGTGTGGCTTCCATTTTCCTGATTGAACCCTGACCAACGGGGTCCTCAAAATCATGTCCCATCCTGCACCAAAAGAAAGAAAACTGGAGATTGTAAAATAAGTTAGAACACTTTATTTTCTAATAAGCCTTATCTTCCAAGCTTATCTTCTAATAAGGTTCTTACTGACAAGCCAGTAAGAGAGAAGATACTGACCTAGCACAATAGTTGAAGAGAGAGAAGAGAAAATTGAGAATTGCTAAAATAGTAAAAACAGCAAGACTGGTGATTAACTAGGAGGGGAGAAGAGAGATGGAAGAGTCAAAGACTACACGGTTGTTGACTCAGGTGGAGAAGATTAGGAGAAATAGTATAGTGGTAAAGAGTGAGCACTCTGGAGGCAGACTGGCTGGGTTTGAACCCTGGTTCCACCTCCTACAGCCATGGGATCCTGAACAAACACCACCATATTTCTTTGCCTAAGTTTTCTCACCTATAAACATACTGTAAGAATTGAATTGGTTAAATGTTTGCAAAGTAACTGACAGAGTAAGAATTCAGTAACTTATCTATTTTTGTTTTTGAAATTCCAGGTAACTTGGAGAGAGTTAGCAATGTGAATGCTGTCTTTTTTAAAAAGTTTTTGTTGAGGTAACATTGGTTCATAGCATTCTATAAATTTCAGGTATACATATTTCAACTTCTGTATATACTACATGGTGCTCACCACTCAAAGCTATTTGTCATCCATCACTGTATAAATGTGCCCTTTTACTCTTTTCACCCTCTCTCGTCTCCCCTCCCTGTCTGGCAACCACCAATCTGTGTCTGTTTGTTGTTGTTGTTTTACCTTCCCCATGAATGAAATCATACAGTATTTGGCTTTCTCTGTCTGACTTATTTTGCTTAGCATAACACCCTCAAGAGCCATCCATGTTGTCACAAATGGCAAGATTTCATCTTTTTTAACAGCTGAGTAGTATTTCATTGCGTATATATACCACACCTACTTTATCCATTCATCTACCAATAGGCACTTAGGTTGTTTCCAAGTCTTGGCTATTATGAATAATGCTACAATGACCATAGGGGTGCATATATCTTTTTGAATCAGTGTTTCCATGTTCTGTGGATAAATCCAGAAGTGGAATACCTGGATCATATGCTAGTTCTATTTTTAATTTTTTGAGGAATCTCCACATTGTTTTCCATGGTGGCTGCACCAGTTTGCACTCCCACTAGCAGTATATAAGAGTTCCCTTTTCTCCACATGCTCTCCAACTCCTGTTATTTCTTGTCTTTTTTAAAGTATGCTTTTTGGTGAGGAAGATTGGCCCTGAGCTAACATCTGTTGCCAAGCTGCTTCTTTTTTTTTATTCTCCCCAAAGCACCAGTACATAGTTTGTATATCCTAGTTGTAGGTCACTCTAGTTCTTCTATGTGGGATGCCACCACAGCATGACTTGAAGAGCAGCATCTAGGTCTGCACCCAAGATTCAAATTCGTGAACCATGGGCTGCTGAAGTGGAGCACATGAACTTAACCACTCGGTCACAGTGCCAGCCCCGTTATTTCTTTTTAATAATAGCCATTCTGACAGGTGTGAGGTGATATCTCACTGAGGTTTTGATTTGCATTTCTCTAATAATTACTGACCTTGAACATCTTTCATGTGCCTGTTGGCCCTCTGTATATCTTCTTTAGAAAAATATCCATCCATAGCCTCTATTTTTTGATAGTTTTTTTTTTTGTTTTGAGTTGTATGAGTTCTTTATATATTTTGGAAATTAACCCATTATATATATGATTTGCAAATATTTTCTCCCAATTGTTAGATTGTCCTTTCATTTTGTTGATGGTTTCCTTTCTTATGCAGAAGTTTTTTAGTTTGATGTAGTCCCATTTTTTTGTTTCCCTTGCCTGAGGAGACATGATATTCAAAAAGACACTGCTGAGAACAGTGTCAAAGAACATACTGCGTACATTTTCTTCTAGGAGTTTTATGGCTTCAGGTCTTACATTCGAGTCTTTAATCCTTTAATCCATTTTGAGTTAATTTTTGTGTATTTGCAGTAAGATG